TTTGTGTAATTTCGGCAAGATGTACAGGCATATGGACGTATGGCACATTTGCATATTCATATTCAGGTTTTGAGATAAGGTTGTTAAATAGGGCTTGCTCCAGATTAGAGTTTATATCCCTTTGGAACACCTGTGTGGGATCAACACTCAGTTTTCTATAGAAATGTTCATTACTGAGTTGTCTCTGAATCTCTTCTTAGTATTTTTCATTGTCTAAAACGACCACAGCACCCCCCTTGTCTGAAGGTTTGATAAACAACCATAGGTATTAATCGAGGAGTTGTTAACTACAGGACAGAATTTGCTTTTGGGCTTAAAATGGCTACCAGTTCTTTGTTGGGTTTCTAGGCCAGTAACAGTGTTTTGAGAAAACACGTGCTGAAGTTTAATCTTGCGAAATAATTTAAACAGATCTACTTTCGTATCAAATTATTTGTCTGTGCATGTAACGGTAGCTAACCTTATTTTAGCGCCCCAAAAACATAATACTTCCAGGTCAACTGTAATATCAATACCATTGTAATGCACAATTTCTACCCTTTCCAGCAAAATCAATGACGAGACCTTTACGCTTCCCGTCTCTACATGATTGAAGAAAGCAATGGAGCTCCGCCGGGTCTTTTTAAAAATGGCGGGTGGGGAAGCGAAAGCTACTGTGTCATAGTGAAAGGGGGAGATATGTAATGTGGGGAACTGGCTTTTTCCACCCGATTTGTCCAACTTATCACCTCTAAAATGTAAATAAAACACTATAAAGAGTTTATATAATGTCTCATTACATACCTATTTGAAGGTTTATGTCGAATTTGAATAGGGTTTTTAGGGCAGGGCTAAATTTATCTTCACAATTAAACTGTGGGTGTCACGGTTTTTGAGAGTCATGATGGCTCGCAGTGATTAGGCGAACAATTAACAAGTGATTGAATTAATTATTGATGAACTCACGAGTAATTAACTTTACACTCACCATTGATCATTTCTTGTTTTTAATCTGCGAGAGAAGCGCTACACCTGGTGGAAAGAGGCTGTACGGCACAGAATGAGTTGAATAATGCGTGCCGTACGTTACGTCGTGACACGTCACACTTTAACGTACAGTGTCAGCGGGGTCAGTTTTTTCAACTCCAATGCTATTGGGTCATTACTATGTCAATCAACACTGAATCAAAACATAGTTCACACCCCGTATTTTGATGCCAACACAGTCGCTACAGTCCCATTAGTTTTCATTGCAGCCTGGTTTGAATGCCGCGGTTGCCCACATATATACGGAACAGAGTTAGCTACCGTTACGTACAAAAGAGAGGCCCTTAGATAAGACTGAGACTTGTGCGTCAGTGAGCTCTTTTTTGGAGAGGTTAATTACCACGTCCTGCTGTAGCTCCGTGTCCATGGCCTGTGTTCCTGGTCCCCTCTTTGACCGCTTGCCTCTCCTACATCGTTTATTTTCTTTCGTGGAGCCTTGTTGTACTGCTTTCGGGCTAAAAACACAGTCTGTGTGCGATGGTAGATGGAGTCGCTGTCTGTAGGGAATTTGCTCTCAGTGGATGCCTCTGTGTCTGCGTTTCCCTGTCCTCCAGCTGCTGATAATCTGCGTCCCCCGGTCAGTGGTGCGTCCCTACGTCGGCCTCTCAGTGCTCCGGGTCCTTGGGCCTTCCCATGTGTAGACCTGGTTGAGCAGGTAGTCCTCTGTGTTTCATTGATATTTCTTGATCTTTGTTGCTTGTAGGAAGTCTCTGTATTTCCAATGGACTGGTTAATGGAGTCGTCTATGGCTGTGAAGTCTGGGCCTAGAATCTCCTTCATTATAACCTCACAAAACTCACAAAAGCTCTGACGAAGGCCTTGAGCCGATACTTAAAGCTTATTAAAGAGTAGTGCTTCTTGTATTTGTATTAAATATAATTTCCCCATTTGTTAAGCATACAATATAGCTCAATATTTGTGTAATTTCTTTTATACAGTCTTTTGCTCATCTTTATTAAGGGGGCCAATAATTTTTGATCTTACTGTATATGCAGATGATATAGGTGAAGACACTTGACAAACTACTTATGAAAACAGTTTTAGAGGAAAGTAGGTGTTTAATGCAAAATGATCAAAATGCACTTGAACAATTACATTTTAAATCAGACTGCAGCATTATTGTTCACAAAGCTCAAACCGTTATTTGTTTTATGAGAGCTAAAACAGGAAAACATTTAGTCATTTAGTCATGTTTAATCCTGTCTAGTCATTAATGCTGCAATAGCCTCTATTATATACACTGAGTGTACAAAACATTAGGAACACCTTCCTAATATTGAGTTGCCCCCAGAACAGCCTCAATTCATCGGGGCATGGACTCTACAAGATGTCGAAAGCGTTCCACAGGGACTCCAATGCTTCCCACAGTTGTGTCAAGTTGGCTGGATGTCCTTTGGGTGGTGGACCATTCTTGATACATACGGGAAACTGTTGAGTGTGAAAAACCCAGCAGCGTTGCAGTTATTGACACACTCAAACTGGTGCACCTGACACCTACTACCATACCCTGTTCAAAGGCACTTAAACATATTGTCTTGCCCATTCACCTTCAATTGCACACATACACAATCCATATCTCAAGGCTTAAAAATCCATCTTTAACTTTTCTCTGCCCCTTCAATTTTTTACTTCACTATGTTGCTCCCCAGATTGCAGCTCCACTGAAATACATATTTATTGGTCACTGGAAAAGGGGACATTTCCAAATGTATGGAAGCATGCTAAACTGAGTCCAATCCTGAAAGACAACAAAGAACCCATTACTCCTGCCAATAGTCTACCAATTGGTCTACTCCCTTCACTCAGTAAGTTACTGGAGGGTAATGTGAGTAGACAAATATGTGAGGATATGGAAAATAATTATCTGACCACAGCCAATCAGCATGCTTATCGTAAAAACCATTCCACTACCACTGCATTGGTTGACATGACTGACCAGTGACTCAATGCTATGGATAATGGCAGGTTTGTGGGTGTACTATTTTTAGATTTTAGTGCAGCATTTGATTTAGTGGAACATGAAATAATTTTGCCAAAATTATTGCATTATGGGTTTAAGGATATAGCAATGAATTGGGTGCAGTCATATCTAACTGAACGGAAACAGTCCACCTATATCAATGGCTCGTTTTCTTCCCCTCATGCTTTAAACTGTGGAATACCGCAGGGCAGCTGCCTTGGGCCACTTCTTTATTTAATATATACCAACGACCTTCCTTATGCCTTATCTGAAACTCAAGCTACTATATATGATAATACAATTTATACAGCAAGACAATTGGTTCAACAGGTACAGCAAGCTCTACAAGTAGATCTGAGAAATATTAGGGAGTGGGTTTTCCACAACAAACTTGTTTTGAACACCAAGAAAACCAAGGTTATGTTGGTCTGTTCCACCAGGAAAAGGCCAACACAGCATGGGACGCAATTAAGTATGGGGGGAGTACAAATTGAGGAAGTGGCAGAAACCAAACGACTAGGGGTTTAGCTAGACAACTGCTTATCATGGTCATCTCAAATAACTAATCTATGTAAAATATCAAATAAAACTGCATGCATGATCAGAAGGATAGCTAAATATTTACCGGGAAAGATTCTTAAGCAAACAACCCAAGCATTAATTGAGAGTCAGGTGAACTACTGTTCTGTGGTCTGGGGAAATGCATCAGCAAGTGAAATTAGGAGGCTGCAGATTGCACAGAACAAAGCAGCAAGGATTGTTTTAAGGTGGAGATATGATTCTTCTGTTGTAGTCATGCACAATGCTCTTGGTTGGTCATCAATGAAAAAAACATGCTTATTTTACACCATTTAAAACAGCCAAACTCCATTCACAATAGTATTCAGTTGGTAAGAGACAAACATTCAGTCAATGCTAGAAATAGATTGTCCACCATCTATGTGTTATCCCGGCAGAAAAGACAAATAGGCAAAATAACTTTTCGATTCAGAGCAATAAATATAATATAATAATAATAATAATAATAATAATAATAATAATAATAATAATAATAATAATAATAATAATAAAATAAAGAAATTGAATAATTTGTATGAGCAAACCAGTAACCTTTCAATATATAAATTCAAACAATACTTTAGAACCATTTAAATATAATACATTGAAAGGTTGTGCAGGACTATGGTAGATAAAGGAATCATTCTATCTTTTCAGACTGTTAAGAGTATTTATCTGGTCAATATGTCAGTGTATTATGTCTGTTGTTTGTAACAGTTTGTTATATGTGAAAATGTGATCGGATTATAAATTGCATTTTAATGTTTAAGGACCCTTGGAAGATTAGGCCAAATGAGGACTAAATTAGATCCTAATCAAATAAAATAAAATAATGTACACTGATTGAAGTGGATTTAACAGGTGAAATAAGGGATCATAGCTTTCACCTGTATTCACCTGGTCAGTCTAGGTCATGGAAAGAGGAGTTCCTAATGTTTTGTCCACTCAGTATAGATCCATGTTCTATGAACATTGGATGCCCCACAGCTAAACCTGTCTGTGAACATAATTGAATGAGTAGAACCTTTACATAGAGTTGCCTGACTAACTGTGCTGTACATAATTACACTCTATTGTACAATTTGAAACCAAATGCATCATTGTCTACTACACGTTGTTAATCTTCAATTTACTTTCAAATTGCCTTGAATTCTCAGTATCTTTTCAAAGCACACCTATTATATGTTCATTAAACACGTTGCTGGGAAAGTGTTTTCACTCCAATGGTGTTAACTTGAAGAACCCACCAAGGACTAGACCTACTGTAATGTACACATTGTGTGAAAGTGGAATACAGAAAAATAACTCACAAAGAAGCAAAAGGGATATACAATAGCTTTCCAGGAACTCACAATACAATAAGTAACATCAGAGACATGATTGATGTGGCAAGGAGCGGTTGAAGAGGTGTGTATTGTGTTGGAACATAATGTGTAGCTCTCTTAGGGCCTTGTTGTCACTCTGTGATGCCGGTGCCCTGTTGCACTGACTGCTGAATGGCGAGGCAGAGTTGGGTGTATTCGTCCTCTGCTACATTCTGGGAACATACAGGAGGATTCCATGGAAAGGAGGACGTCAAGCAGAGAACACAAACTAACATGAACCATCTTTGTTTATGGTATGTCCAAAATACACGACACAACAATAGGAAGGGAAATGGGCCATTGTGTTCTAGGATAGCATCTTTTTGTTGTTGTTTTTGTTGTATTTAACCTTTATTTAACTAGGCAAGTCAGTTAAGAACAAATTCTTATTTACAATGACGGCCTACCCCGGCCAAACCCGGACGACGCTGGGCCAATTGTGCGCCGCCTTATGGGACTCCCAATCACAGCCAGATTGTGAAACAGCCTGGAATCGAACCAGGGTCTGTAGTGACGCCTCTAGCACTGAGATGCAGGATAGCATCTAGACTAGACATGATGGTATGTACTCTATGTGAGAATAATGTAAGGTTCAGCCTGTTGCTTTTGAAAATGCATTGAGTTACAGTGCTGTCAAGAACAACGAGACATAATGATTTTCCTCTGAAGAATTTCTAGGAAGGATTTCTTGGAAATCGTGATCCAGTTTTTTTTCTCTATGGAAGTCATTGTCATATCTTCAGAGAAAAATAATGAGACACTCACCATGTAGGTGTCATAGCTGAAACAATGCCTGATAGCCATGTGACCGGTGAGGTTTCGGCTACAGTAACTAGCATTGCCCCAAACAGTGGCAGCACAGATGGGACACACCTAGAGGAGAGAGGGGGTGTTGGGTTGACTTCCCAAACAGAACAAACAGCACATCCTATGTTTTGATGTTTTCATAGTGTTGTGTGAACCAAGTTAGAGTTAGTAGATAAGTGACTTGGTGCCACAGAGTCTCCATTCCATTATGTCATGGGAGATTACTGATGTTTATGGTAGAATGATTGATGGATATGATATACTGACTTGGGGGAAAAGGGAATAACATCAGACAAGGGAGTGCCCACCATTGGTTACCAGATGTGGTTGAAGAAACCCTAGAAACTCATAACATCCTAATTATTTGTACACTTAACAAATTGAAGTCAATTGAAATGAATTAATGAGGCCTGTTGGGTTCTAGTTTGAAATACTTGCTATACTAGATTACATGTATGAGGAAGGTATATGGTGGGGGTCAATGGAGGTTGGATAAGAAGTATGGGTCTGGAAAGTTACTAAGTAAGAGAAAAGACAATCACTTGGTTGCGGTCACTGATAAGGTTGGATAGCTGTGGATTAGTGAGGAATATGGGCTGAGGTCAGGTCAGGTTAGATGAAGGGAGAAGGAACAGTTGCATTACACACATCACTTAACTTCCTGCCTAGCAACAAAGATGTAGTGTTTAGAGGTGCAAGGAAGAGACTCCGCCTAAAGGAGGGTATAAATACTTGTGCTGGTGGAAACATGTCTTTGCAACTGTTTGACCCATTGGGTGAATAAACTTGGTTTGAGCTTTGAGTAGTTGTCCGTTAGTTTTTCACTCTGTTTGTCAGAACCTAACAGGCCCTAATCTATGGATTTCACATGACTGGGAATACAGATCCGTTGGTCACAGATACCTTAAAAGAAAAGGGTAGGGCGTGGATCAGAAAACCGGTCAGTATCTGCTGTGACCACCATTTGCCTTATGCAGTGCAACACATCTCCTTTGCATAGAGTTGATCAGGCTGTTGATTGTAGCATGTGGAATGTTGTCCCACTCCTCTTCAATGGCTGTGTGAAGTTGCTGGATATTGTCAGGAACTGAAACACGCTGTCGTACACGTCGATCCAGAAAATCCCAAAGATGCTCAATGGGTGACTTGTCTGGTGAGTATGCAGGCCATGGAAGAACTGGGACATTTTCAGCTTCCATGAATTGTGTACAGATCCTTGCGACATGGGGCCATGCATTATCATGCTGAAACATGAGGTGATGGCAGTGGATGAATGGCACGACAATGGGCCTAAGAACCGCGTCACAGTATCTCTGTGCATTCAAATTGCAATTGATAAAATGCAATTCTGTTCATTATCCGTAGCTTATACCTGCCCATACCATAACCCCACCGCCACCATGGGGCACTCTTTTCACAACGTTGACATCAGCAAACTACTCGCCCACACGACGCCATACACGCTGTCTGCCATCTCCCCGGTATAGTTGAAACCGGGATTAATCCGTAAAGGTGAGAATTTGCCCACTGAAGTCAGTCACGACGCCAAACAGCAGTCAGGTCAAGACCCTGGTGAGGACGACGACCACGCAGATGAGCTTCCCTGAGACGGTTTCTGACAGTTTGTGCAGAAATTATTTGGTTGGGCAAGCCTACAGTTTCATCAGATGTCTGGGTGCCTGGTCCCAGACAATCCTGCAGATTCAGAAGCCGGAAGTGGAGGTCCTGAGTTTACGTGGTTATACATGGTCTGCAGTTGTGAGGCCTGTTGGACGTACTGCCAAATTCTCAAACCATGTTGGATGCGGCTTATGGTATAGAAATTAACATTCTCTGGCAACAGCTCTGGTAGACATTCCTGCAGTCAGCATGCCAATTCCACACTCCCTCAAAACTTGAGACATGTGTGACAAAACCACACATTTTAGAGTGGCCTTTTATTGTCCACAGCACAAGGTGCACCTGTGTAATGATCATGCTGTTTAATCAGTTTATTGATATGCCACACATGTCAGGTGGATGGATTATCTTGTCAAAGGAGAAATGCTCACTAACAGGGATGTAAACAAATTTGTGCACAACATTTGAGAGAAATCATATCTTTGTGAGTATGGAAAATGTCTGGGATCTTTTATTTCAGCTCATGAAACATGAAACCAACAATTTACATGTTGCGTTTATATTTTTGTTCAGAATACATATAATATCTAGCATTAATTACTGTTCAAGACATGTTGCAGCTCTTGCTATTCAGGTTCATGTTTGAAAGTTAGGTGAAAGATAGAATAGGCTCACTCACAGCTGGAGCGTTCTCTCCTGCGTGGCTGCCGACACAGTGCTGGACCAGTGTCATGTCTGTGAGCCCCTGCAGGGGGCAGTATGGGCAGGAGTACACCCTTCCTCCCAGAAGGCCCAAAGTCAACACTCTGGGCCTGAGAAACAAGTCACCATCATTAACACATGCACAAAAAGACTACATTTTCACAACAACAACATGGATCCATTTTGACAGTAAGATCATACATACCTTACCAACTCAGATATCTGTGTTTGTGTGGGCTGTCCTGGTAGAGGCCTAGAGGAAAACCTAATGAGAATAGTCAAATATACATCACTTTAAGTGTATAATTCTGTGATCAATGATCAAAATATCCAATCTCAACTATCAGAAAAAACTCTCAAACAAATATGTTTTCTTAATTATTCATCTCCATGACTTCTATACAGATCATGTTTATTGAAAGAGGAAGAGAAAGCTGATTAAAGTCATGATAACATTGCATCCATAACTATAAATCAGAATTAAGTCTGTTGCTTATATACTATCTGTCACAGGCTATCTAGCTATTTAACACATGAGTTATTCACAAATGTATTCACTATAGCCAATATATCATCAAAGAGGACATTAAGATGAGAACGTTTCTGTCCTCTTGCTGATGCTACGGTCCAATGAGTCATGTCCTTGATTATAAGTTGTAACTGGGACAAAGTAAAGATCGACCAATTCAAACCAAGCGGTCAGCTTAATGCAGACTGAGTAGTTTCAGTGTTGTCTTATCTAGGACTGGTTATTGATATTCCTAGGATGCTGCCTTATTTTACTTTAAAAGATTGGATCTTAGGTAGATGCCTTATGATGCAGAACTGATAGTCTGGGTAGCCATGATTAGATGTTCAGGAGTCTTATGGCTTGGGGGTAGAAGCTGTTTAGAAGCCTCTTGGACCTAGACTTGGTGCTCCGGTACCGCTTGCCGTGCGGTAGCAGAGAGAACAGTCTATGACTAGGGTGGCTGGAGTCTTTGATAATTTTTAGGGCCTTCCTCTGACACCGCCTTGTATAGAGGTCCTGGATGGCAGGAAGCTTGGCCCCAGTGATGTACTGGGCCGTACGCTACCCTCTGTAATGCCTTGCGGTCGGAGGCCGAGCATTTGCCATACCAGGCAGTGATGCAAGCAGTCAGGATGCTCTCGATGGTACAGCTGTAGAGCCTTTTGAGGATCTGAGGACCCATGCCAAATCCTTTCAGTCTCCTTAGGGGGAATAGGTTTTGTTGTGCCCTCTTCACGACTGTCTTGGTGTGCTTGGACCATGTTAGTTTGTTGGTGATGTGGACACTAAGGAACTTGAAGCTCTCAACCTGCTCCACTACAGCCCCGTTGATGAGAATGGGGGCGTGCTCGGTACACCTTCACTGACCATGAAAAGTTCAGGATAGCGACAGCACTATGGCCTCTAGAACACTTCCACCATAGTCAGGTACTAGGCCTATACCTTTACTATTAAAATAACCAGAAGGACTACTACTCCCTCTGCTACTATTAGTAGTACCACACTACAGTACCAATACTTGTATTTCAAGTTCTAATAGGCTACTTCTGCTACTACAGTATTATTAAAAGTAATACTAGTAGTACTAATCCTACGATTCGGTGGATTCAATGTCTGTATACTTGCCCAGTCATGTGGATTGTATCCATTGGTACACGGCTGACTTCCTGAGTCGCTGGTGTGACTGGTGGGGGTGGTGCGTCAAGAGGGGTGCCATACTCCTCAAGGTACTTCCTGCAGCTTTTGTAGTGAACTCTCATCTTGCTGAGAAACTTCTGAGAAGTGAAATCACATAGGTCTATACATAAAATGGGTGATGTGTGAAGTAACATTATTTTTGTTTTCAACAAATTAGCAACCATAATTAGCTACAAAATTATCTAATCCGCCGATCGTGTTGCTAAATCAAATCAAATGTATTTATTTAGCCCTTTTTACATCAGCAGATGTCACAAAGTGCTATACAGAAACCCAGCCTAATACCCCAAACAGCAAGCAATGCAGATGTAGCCACCGTTGGCTAGGAAAAACTCCCTAGAAAGGCAGGAACCTAGGAAGAAACCTAGAGAGGAACCAGGCTCTGAGGGGTGACCAGTCCTCTTCTGGCTGTGCCGGGTGGAGATTATAAGATGTGGCAGACCAGGGGGTTTGATCTAAACGTTTACACAGATCAGACTCGGAGTAGACCTCTTCCGGGTTACCGTCTTCTGGGCTCCGGGGAATGCTGTCTCCTCTGGGGTAGAACACCAAGCCCCACGGTTCTAGCAGACCGTGAGGACGTCTATCCGGTAGCAACCTCTCACTACCTCCAACCTCTCCCCTGTGCTGCCCTCCTGGCAACTTTATGGGCTCCATACGGCTGGTGAGCAATCAGCCCCTTGATTACTCACCAGCCTTAATCAGTCCCAATTAGCCCTGATCGGAGGACCTGTCGAGACCTGGCACATGTGATGTAGTCTCCGTAATGTAATTTACGGGTCCCAGCTTCTCTGTCACCTCGTACGGCCCGTGCCATGTTGCCAGGACCTTACTTTCTGCTTGGGGATTAAAACTAGCACCTTGTCACCCACCTGGAACTCTCGGGGCTGGGTCCCCTGATTGTAGACCTTGGCTTGGGCGCGCTGGGACTTCTCCATATGTTCCCTTACCACTGGCCATATGGCTGTCATCCGCTCCCTCATCGTCTCTACGTGTTCCACCACGCTGCGTAAGGGGTTCGGCTGGGCTTCCCACACCTCCTTGGCGAGATCCAGTAGGCCGTATGGTCTCCTCCAATAGAGGAGTTCAAAAGGGGAAAACCCAGTGGATGCCTGGGGAACTTCTCGGATTGAGAACATTAGGTGGGGTAGAAGCTGGTCCCAGTTCTTCCTGTCCCGCTCGATGACCTTCCGCAGCATTTGTTTGAGCGTCTTATTGAACCATTCGACGAGCCCATCCGTCTGCGGGTGAAAGATAGAGGTCCAGATCTGCTGTAGGAGAGCACAAAAATCTTTCATCAGTCGGGACATGAACTCGGTACCTTGGTCGGTCAGGATCTCGTTCGGGATGCCCACCTGGCTGAAGAGGTGGAACAGCTCCCGGGCGATTCCCTTGGAGACTGCCGCCAGTATGGGAATGGCCTCGGGATATTGGGTGACATAATGCTTTTCCAACTGTCTTGAAGGAGTTCCCACATATGCTTAGCACTTGTTGGCTGCTTTTCCTTCACTCTGTGGTCCGACTCATCCCAAACCATCTCAATTTGGTTGAGGTCGGGGGATTGTGGAGGCCAGGTCATCTGATGCAGCACTCCATCACTCTCCTTCTTGGGAAAATAGCCCTTACACAGCCTGAAGATGTGTTTTCAGTCATTGTCCTGTTGAAAAACAAATGATAGTCCTACTAAGCCCAAACCAGATGGGATGGCTTATCGCTGCAGAATGCTGTGGTTGCCATGCTGGTTAAGTGTGCCTTGAATTCTAAATAAATCACAGACAGTGTTACGAGCAAAGCACCCCCACAATGCAGAGATCATCTGTTCACCCACACAACGTCTCACAAAGACACGGCGGTTGGAACCAGAAATCTCAAATTTGGACTCTAGACCAAAGGACACATTTCCACCGGTCTAATGTCCATTGCTCGTGTTTCTTGGCCCAAGCAGGTCTCTTCTTCTTATTGGTGTCCTTTAGTAGTGGTTTCTTTGCAGCAATTCGACCATGAAGGCCTGATTCACACAGTACCCTCTGAACAGTTGATGTTGAGATGTGTCTGAGACTTAAACTCTGTTAAGCATTTATTTGGGCTGCAATTTCTGAGGCTGGTAACTCTAATGAACTTATCCGCTGCAGCAGAGGTAACTATGGGTCTTCCATTCCTGTGGCGGTCCTCATGAGAGCCAGTTTCATCATAGCGCTTGATGGTTTTTGCGACTGCACTTGAAGAAACTTTAAAAGTTCTTGAAATGTTCCGTATTGACTGACCTTCATGTCTTAAAGTAATGATGGACTGTCATTTCTCTTTGCTTATTTGAGCTGTTCTTGCCATAATATGGACTTGGTCTTTTACCAAATAGGGCTATCTTCTGTATACCCCCCCCCCCTACCTTGTCACAACACAACTGATTGGCTCAAACGCAATACGAAGGATATAAATTCCACAAATTAACTTTTAAGAAGCCACACCTGTTAATTGACACCGATACCAACAAAGGTGTGTTGCCCTACATCCCTTCCACAAAAAGTGTAAAATGGTAACACCACAACCATGTCTTGCAGTATCAGCAAATCTTCTGCAAGAGGTCCAAACAGTTTGTGGTTAAGGTCTACGAGCCCTACACCACTTCCGGCAGTCTTATCCATCTGGCCGTACACCGCAGACGGATCAAGACGATTCGCCACAAGCACTCTGCTTCCACAGCCCACCATTGCCAGTGTACCTACACAGGATAAAATGTTTTATCAGATCTTTTACCTAATGGTGGCGCTCTAAACATGCACAAATTCCCACTGGAACGCAGCCATTTTAAAAGTGCAGGGCTTGTGCAATGTGCAATGTGCAATACCATATATCCTCTGTCTGATTCTCAGTTCATCCACTAGACAGCAGTAGGAGATCAAATGACGTCTCTTGGCCACTTGAAACCAGTTGCGTCTGGTTTGGGTAGTGAGTCACTGTGCCAAAATGGCTAAACGGATGTTCAAGCCTGACATCTTAAAATGACCCTAGCAATCAGGGCTTTGAAGTTATGAAGTTAGTTTATGTTTATTTTTATAAGACACAGACAAGTGAAGAAACTTCAAACTTCTTGTCCCATTCACTTTTCAAATTTCCACCGGTCTAATGTCCATTTCTCGTGTTTCTTGGCCCAAGCAAGTCTCTTCTTATTATTGGTGTCCTTTAGTAGTGGTTTCTTTGCAGCAATTCAATCACGAAGGCCTGATTCACAGTCTCCTCTGAACAGTTGATGTTGAGATGTGTCTGTTACTTGAACTCTGTGAAGCATTTATTTGGGCTGCAATTTCTGAGGCTGTTAACTCCAATGAATTTATCCTCTGCAGCAGAGGTAACTATGGGTCTTCCATTCCTGTGGCGATCCTCATGAGAGCCAGTTTCATCATAGCTCTTGATGGTTTTTGCGACTGTACTTGAAGAAACTTTAAAGGTTCTTGAAATGTCCCATATTGACTGACATTCATGTCTTAAAGTAATGATGGACTGTCATTTCTCTTTGCTTATTTGAGCTGTTCTTGCCATAAAATGGACTTGGTCTTTTACCAAATAGGGCTATTTTCTTTAATCCCCCCCTACCTTGTCACAACACAACTGATTGGCTCAAACGCATTAAGAAGGAAATGAATTCCACAAATGAACTTTTAAGAAGGCCCACCGCTTAATTGAAATACATTCCAGGTGACTACCTCATGAAGCTGGTTGAGAGAATACCAAGAGTGTGCAAAGCTGTCATCAAGGCAAAGGGTGGCTATTTGAAGAACCTCAAATACAAAATATATATTTTGATTTGTTGAACACTTTTTTGGTTACTACATGATTCCATATGTGTTATTTCATAGTTTTTATGTCTTCACTATGATTCTACAATGTAGAAAATAGTAAAAATAGAGAAAAACCCTTGAATAAGTAGGTGTTCTAAAACTTTAGACCGGTAGGGTAGTGTATATGAACTGAATATGCTTGTCAACAACAGCCAGTGTTTATTTTTTTGAATGTGTTTTACCTGTAGCCTAATCTGACTACTGTTACCGTCAATCTAATGCGTTCATAATAACACAATGCTACAACAACAATAAACTGAAGTTATAGGCTATTTATTAAATTGTTTTGCCAGCTCCAGGTAGACTACAAGTGATTTGCAATGACTCCAGTCATATCGTCATTTCAACATATTTATTGTATCAAATGTTTGCCTACAATTGCAAATACAGTTGAATTCGGAAGTTTACATACACTTAGGTTGGAGTCATTAAAACTTGTTTTTCCACCACTCCACACATTTCTTGTTAACAAACTATAGTTTTGGCAAGTCGGTTAGGACATCTACTTTGTGCATAACACAAGTACATTTTTCCAACAGTTGTTTACAGACAGATTATTTCACTTATAATTCACTGTATCACAATTCCAGTGGGTCAGAAGTTTACATACACTAAGTTGACTGTGCCTTTAAACTGCTTGGAAAATTCCAGTTAATGATGTCATGGCTTTAGAATCTTTGATAGGCTAATTGACATCATTTGAGTCAATTGGAGGTGTACCTGTGGATGTATTCCAAGGCCTACCTTCAAACTCAGTGCCTCTTTGCTTGACATCATGGGAAAATCAAAAGAAATCAGCCAAGACCTCAGACATTTTTTTGTAGATCTCCACAAGTCTGGTTCATCCTTGGGAGCAATTTCTAAACGCCTGAAGGTACCACGTTCATCTGTACAAACAATAGTACGCAAGTATAAACACCATGGGACCACGCAGCCGTCATACCGCTCAGGAAGGAGACGCGTTCTGTCTCCTAGAGATGAACGTACTTTGGTGAGAAAAGTGCAAATCAATCCCAGAACAACAGCAAAGGACCTTGTGAAGATGCTGGAGGAAACAGGTACAAAAGTATCTATATCCACAGTAAAATTAGTCCTATATCGACATAACCTGAAAGGCCGCTCAGCAAGGAAAAAGCCACTGCTCCAAAACCGCCATAAAAAAAGCCAGACTACGGTTTGCAACTGCACATGGGGACAAAGATCCTACATTTCGGAGAAATGTCCTCTGGTCTGATGAAACAAAAATAGAACTGTTTGACCATAATGACCATCGTTATGTTTGGAGGAAAAAGGGGGTTTGCTGCAAGCCGAAGAACACCATCCCAACCGTGAAGCATGGGGGTGGCAGCATAATGCTGTGGGGGTGCTTTGCTGCAGGAGGGACTGGTGCACTTCACAAAATAAATGGCATCATGAGGAAGGAAAATTATGTGGATATATTGAAGCAACATCTCAAGACATCAGTCATGAAGTTAAAGCTTGGTCGCAAATGGGTATTCCAAATGGACAATGACCCCAAGCATACATTTACATTTTTTAAAACATTTACATCATTTATCAGACACTCTTATCCAGAGCGACTTACAAATTGGTGCATTCAACTTATGATAGCCAGTGGGACAACCACTTTTTTTCCTTCTTTTTTTTTATTGGGGGAGGGGGGGTTTAAGGATTGCTTTATTCTATTCCAGGTATTCCTTAAAGAGGAATACTTCCAAAGTTGTGGCAAAATGGCTTAAGGACAACAAAGTCAAGGTATTGGAGTGGCCATCACAAAGCCCTGACCTCAATCCTATAGAACATTTGTGGGCAGAACTGGAAAAGTGTGTGCGAGCAAGGAGGCCTACAAACCTGACTCAGTTACAACAACTCTGTCAGGAGGAATGGGCCAAAATTCACCCAACTTATTGTGGGAAGCTTGTGGAAGGCTACCCGAAACGTTTGACCCAAGTTAAACAATTTAAAGGCAATGCTAACAAATACTAATTGAGTGTATGTAAACTTCTGACCCACTGGGAATGTGATGAAAGAAATAAAAGCTGAAATAAATCATCATCTCTACTATTATTCTGACATTTCATATTCTTAAAATAAAGTGGCGATCGTAACTGACATAAGACAGGGAATTTTTACTAGGATTAAATGTCAGGAATTGTGAAAAACAGAGTTTAAATGTATTTGGCTAAGGTGTATGTAAACGTCCGACTTCAACTGTGCAAAAACTTTAATATATGTGGGATGCATGCCAGAAAAGCCGCTACACAACACAACAACCAAACAATACATTATTTGTACTATAACGGTGACAAACGGTGCCCACAAACTGTTAGGGCCTACATAAAGCTGTCCCAACAGCAGAGTACCAACAGCAGTCCCAACACTTTTCCACTGCTACACATGGCTATCAGCGGCACCTTGTCTGGCAGCGAAACAGTTCATTCAGCCTCATTTACTGCCTTTTAAAAAAACATAGCTGATATGGCTGACTTGCTTAAACAAATCTGGTTTCTACTGAAAATTGAGATGTGCAAACTATGGCATAAGGGGACAACAAGCAGATAAGAGGCAATCTGTAATTTCGATGAAGACATTAATGAGCGATCTAGGACGGACATAGTCAATTTAACTATTTTTTCAGCACTTTTGAAATGTACAGTGACAGAATTCAGAACATGGGCCGTTCTTACAGTGTTCTCCCTGTACACCAAGTCAGAACCGTAGGATAAATAAAGGGGGAATATAAGCAGACAATGAAAGCTCTTACAATATTCAATGAAACAGGTTATAGGCTACATGTGCACCACCAAGTCATAACAGTAGGCAAAATTATGAGGGGAAAATTGACCAAATTCTCTGGATTTATGGTGCTTTCAACTGGGAACTCTGAAAAAAACAAGGTTGAATCATGATGACGTCAGTGATCTTCAGGTCGTAGCTCTAGAAAGAGGCCCGAGTTCCCGACTTACAATTCCGAGTTGGATGCCCATTCAAAACAGTGACAGAACACTGAGCCAATCACGGCGTAACTAGAGAACCTTACCAACACCTACGCTCCGTATTTTCCGCTGGCTGTCCCACTACCACAGAAAGCACTGAGCTAGGCTGAAACACCTTTATCTTTGAGCTACTCAATAAAGCAAAAATAGACCATGTTTGTATGCGGCTTTATTAACTCAATGATTGTTTTGTTTTTTTACATTGTTTGCAAACTGATGTGTGACACGTATTAATGCCAAAATAACATGGAAAACAGGCAAGCCCACCCACCCCAAAAAAGCTACAAATGTGGGGCTCAAAACGCCCTAAATGACGGGTCGCCACTGCTTAGATAGATGAAATGAATCTATAATAATATAATATAATATGCCATTTAGCAGACGCTTTTATCCAAAGCGACTTACAGTCATGCGTGCATAATTTTTTTTTGTGTATGGGTGGTCCCGGGGATCGAACCCACTACCTTGGCGTTACAAGCGCCGTGCTCTACCAGCTGAGCTACAGAGGACCACAATCTAAAAGTAAGAGTTGTGTAATCTACCTCATCGAGATATGCTGTTTGTCTATGATCAGGGGATGTAACCTTGTACACACATCCAATGGCTTTGAGCAGGTGTTAGATATCAAAGTAAATGTTCATCATCAAAAAAGGAGCACATACACTGTGATATTATAGTCCCGAGTGTGTTTATTAACATTTCAACCCCTTAGGTCTTCCCCCTATATGAAGTATACTTTTCACCCCTAGGAATACTTAAGGGGGTGAAAATCATAAGCACACTTTGGACTATATTTATCGTAGTGTGTAGATGTGTAGACTACAGAGTTTTCCTCCTGTGTGTTATCCCTTTGATCAGCGACCTGATTGTAGTGTTGGTTTGGGGAAGAACTAAATGTACTAGCTATGGGATTCCCCTAGCATGACTGTAAATGGAGGGGAAACAATGGAAGAACAGTGCCCTCCTCAGTATTTAGGTAACAAAACACTGAGTAGATGTTCTGTACTCCACACAGGTAAAATATTGAAGTGTAAACATCATACACAAAGTGTAATAAATAGTGTCTCCTACCGTAGTACCACAGGCCCTGCACTGTCCTTTCCTCTCCCTCATCTGCTGCTGGACATCTGCTGCTCTCTTTTCAGTCTCCGATACGGGGCCCCTGCACAGGGGACAGTGTGGTCCCTGGGCCCTCACAGCCAGGCGGAAGCAGTCTTTACAGAACCTGGGAGGACAGAGATGGTTATTGTTTCGAAGATATTGTATTTTATTGTAGGCTATAGGACATATCCTCATGAGTTGGCTTAGACATTTTTTTGTACCATCACAGACATCTGTCAACTAAAGTATTGAGCTGAGCCAGCCATTTTGTGGATTATTTGACCTCAAATATTTGGTTATTTTATTATTTGACCTGGGCAATGCCTTGGCCTGACTATGGGTTATGGTTTTGTATATTTACACATGTCTGCAGTTCCTGGTCCTGATGGGGGTTCTCAGGACATCCTGACATATGGGACAGTCATAGTCCTCCTCTGAGCAGCTGTCCAACAATCCCTCTGCAGCATTCCAAATATTACTCATAGCTCCCATAGGCTCCATTGATGAAGAACACACACTTCCCATTCATCCGCCAACCTGGAGGGAGGAAAATGCGAAGGAAACCACCACCTGTTTACTGTAAGTCCCCAACCAGGATACTATTAGACTTTAGAGTTTCCTGGTCTGTGAAATATTAACCCATTCCAGGTGTACCCAGACTATTTGCATTCAATCAGGATTACATCATAACAGATCAACAATGGATAAGTGACAGTTGCAAGGGAGTCAGAAGGGTTGGATTTCTCTCTAATCAATGTAAATGTACTGTAAATGTATAGGCACAGAGACCCTTTCAATCATGTTTTTACCTCATTAGCTTTGAGTTAATATCACATTTGTATTGTCCTCTATGTACAGTACCTATCTCTGAAACACATATACCTAGTCATTATGCTTTCTCTGACAGTCAGACCTATTTTTACAGAAAGTGCCGAGCAAACATAATGGTACAGTGTCATGACATGTTGAAGTAACAATGTATTAGAATGTGACCACAAAATGTTCACTCTCTTTTTGTAGAATAGCGGACCCAGAGTAGCCAAGGGAGGTGATAGGTGAGAATAAGGAGGACCCATAATTGTACAAGAACAATACTTGAATTTATTACAGATGCAGGATTTCAGGATACATGGCTTGTCTCGAAAACAGTTGTGCATAGCAGCAACATTCAGGATATGAAAACTCACAAAAATGACAGCGAGTGTAAAGCTCAGCCCCTCAATAGTGTTCCTACTGCAGCTAAGACTGGGTTTAAATGCTAAACAGCATAACGGATTACCCCTTTTTCCAGCTCTAAACAGAGCCCAACTCTCCCCAGAACAACCTAAATCAACTGCCTGTACATACAGGCCGCTACAAACAAACTGCTATGGAGCACATTGTAAAATGATGTTTAACCCTGAGCTGAGAGAAAAGGACATAATTTATCCCTTTGCTCCTCAATCCCACCCACACATATTTACCAATGAGAATGAGCAGTTAATTAGAATAACTTTAATTTGTTAATTAGACCAGGTAACACTATGGAAAACATGATTTAACCTCTTAAGGATCGGACCCTTTTTTTCCATTTTCGCCTTAAATGACATAACCAAATCTAACTGCCTGTAGCTCAGGACCTGAAGCAAGGATATGCATATTCTTGATACTATTTGAAAGGACACACTTTGAAGTTTGTGGAAATGTGAAATTAATGTAGGAGAATATAACACATTAGATCTGGTAAAAGATAATACAAACAAGAAAAAAAATTTGAAATGCAAGAGAAAGGCCACAATATAATGTTGCAGTTTAGGCGCAATTTAGATTTTGTGCAGTGTGCGCGCAAGGTTTCAGATTGATCCAGTGAAGCATTGCAATACTGGACTATTTTGTATCAAGTCTGCCCAAATGTGCCAAATTGGTCAATTGATACATTTTCAAGTACATAACTATAGAGAACATACAAAAATTATATGGTAATACAAAATGTAAGTTTACACCCTCCCATGAATGTCATACATGATGGCTCATTAGCTTATACACTAACTTGTATAAGCTAATGATGGCCGGGCAGGGTGGGTGTAGAGCCAGAGACAGCAGGGGTTCAAACTGTAGAACCCAGTTCCTACATTTGAATATAAAAATTGATTTTATCAAACAAAACTATGCTACATTTTATCTCTGGGACCCTTAGGATGACAGATCAGAGCAAGATTATTGAATGTAAGTACATTATTTACCTTCAGAGGTGAATGTCTCAAACCAGTTGCTGTGATAAGTTTTTTGTTGTTGTGCACTCTCCTCAAACAATAGCATGGTATTTTTTCACTGTAATAGCTACTGTAAATTGGACAGTGCAGTTAGATTAACAAGAATGTAACCTTTCTGCCCATATAAGACCTGTCTATGTCCTGGAAAGTCTGTTGTTACTTACAACAGTCATGCTAATCACATTAGCGCACGTTAGCTCAACCGTCCCGTATACGGGACATCGATCCCATAATTCCATTCATTAGTTTAAATGACCATATTTAGTAATGTACATTTTACTTTAAAAGACAGAGCTACATCAACAAGAACATGATTAGAACTACTACTCAGGGTGACTGAAAGCATGGGTGAACTACAAGTTAATTAGCTAACTCACCACACCTGGCTTAAACCTGCGCAACTCGATAGCAAACAACTAAGGTCAGGAACACCTAAACTGGTAGATAGCTATGCATGACAATGGACTAGTGCACTTCATCCAAACCACATATGTATATACCTTTAAACATTTTAGATAATAAAGACCTTTTAAAATGGTGATGAGGCCAGTCTAAGGCTCTTTCTCTCTTTCTCTCTCTCTCTCTCTCTCTCTCTCTCTCTCTCTCTCTCTCTCTCTCTCTCTCTCTCTCTCTCATTCACAGAAGCAATATTTTATACTGTACATTGTCTGTTCCCCTCAACATTAAATCAATATTTAAATTTAAAAATCCACTTACCACCTGTACAATCTGCTTAGAGAGTCGTAACTGATGATTGAAAATGAATTGACAAGTAGAAATACAACACGGCAAATCCCCTGACAAGTTAGTTTGCACTTTCACTCTGTCGACATGAGGAAGTTTGGAAATTACCTAATGTTTGACAGCTTCAAACATCATTCACTCACAAGAGTAATTGGCTTTGAACTGTTATTCAGATGTACAAGGCTTGGAACAACCTTGATTAGGCAACTTCTTAATGTCATTTTCTGCGCACCGTATCTTTGGAAATGTTAAAGTCATTTCAAAACTTCAAAGGAATCACTTTAATGTATGCTCTCCATATGATTGTGTACGTTTACAATCAAAGAGGGACTTTTATGAATTATCACAGTTCAAAGGCTCCTCTGCCAGAAAATTTCAGTTTCACTTTCTCTACAAAGTTTATTTTGTTTTACTCCCATTATTATTCACCAGTATGGGCATGATACCTGTTAGACATTCAGCCCAAAGCCTCTATGTTATCTGCCAGCCTTGGAGTCTATATCTGGCCATTTAAGATACCAGCTCATGTATATTAATAACGTCTCCTCTAATTGCAGCTGGTCAGTCCTGCTGTGTGGAGCCTAACTCAGCCAGGCTTCACTCATTCTCTCTCTCTCCATTGATTGTGTGTTCAGTTCACTCTTTCTATATTTTTATTGATCGTGTGATCAGTGGATGGAAGGATGCTGGTGCACTGCCCTTTATATATCTCAATCTTCTTGCCATTAATCTTTATATCTACATTTACATTAATGTCTAATGTGTGATGGGGAGTGGATGGAGGTTTCATCACCAGCGAACCGTGTAGTTTGGTGCCATCCTGAGTTGTGGCCTAGCTCGGTGGGTAGCTGTGGTCCTATCCGCTTGGCTTGGCAGAGCTGTGGTAGTTGGAAATCGATGTGTGACTGAACTGCTGTGTGTTCTGGTACGGGTTAGGCCTATATAGGCCTCATGAATGTGCTGTAGTCAACTGAACTGCCATGTGCAAATATTATTGGCTCAGCAACCACTGCCTACAGCTGAAGGCCTACCTATCAAGACCAGGTTTTGAATGGTGATGCCCTGGAACTGTAGAGCAATCAAATGCAGTTATAGAATACAAACAACACTGTTGCATTGAGATATACACTGAGTATACTTAAGCACGTTTACCTGTGACTGTATTCATTATACAGCACTGCCTGGCGTGCCTTAATTGCTTTCATAAAACTGTTACCAACCTATTACAATGAATTACATATTTTCATTAAAACGTTATTTTGATAAGTCAATTCATACAATTTCTAGCTGGCTAGCTAGATTACGATTCACATATACAGTGGGGAAAAAAAGTATTTAGTCAGCCACCAATTGTGCAAGTTCTCCCACTTAAAAAGATGAGAGAGGCCTGTAATTTTCATCATAGGTACACGTCAACTATGACAGACAAATTGAGAAAATAAAATCCAGAAAATCACATTGTAGGATTTTTAATGGATTTATTTGCAAATTATGGTGGAAAATAGGTATTTGGTCACCTACAAACAAGCAAGATTTCTGGCTCTCACAGACCTGTAACTTCTTCTTTAAGAGGCTCCTCTGTCCTCCACTCGTTACCTGTATTAATGGCACCTGTTTGAACTTGTTATCAGTATAAAAGACACCTATCCACAACCTCAAACAGTCACACTCCAAACTCCACTATGGCCAAGACCAAAGAGCTGTCAAAGGACACCAGAAACAAAATTGTAGACCTGCACCAGGCTGGGAAGACTGAATCTGCAATAGGTAAGCAGCTTGGTTTGAAGAAATCAACTGTGGGAGCAATTATTAGGAAATGGAAGACATACAAGACCACTGGTAATCTCCCTCGATCTGGGGCTCCACGCAAGATCTCACCCCGTGGGGTCAAAATGATCACAAGAACGGTGAGCAAAAATCCCAGAACCACACGGGGGGACCTAGTGAATGACCTGCAGAGAGCTGGGACCAAAGTAACAAAGCCTACCATCAGTAACACACTACGCCGCCAGGGGCTCAAATCCTGCAGTGCCAGACGTGTCCCCCTGCTTAAGCCAGTACATGTCCAGGCCCGTCTGAAGTTTGCCAGAGTGCATTTGGATGATCCAGAAGAGGATTGGGAGAATGTCATTTGGTCAGATGAAACCAAAATATAACTTTTTGGTAAAAACTCAACTCGTCGTGTTTGGAGGACAAAGAATGCTGAGTTGCATCCAAAGAACACCATACCTACTGTGAAGCATGGGGGTGGAAACATCATGCTTTGGGGCAGTTTTTCTGCAAAGGGACCAGGACGACTGATCCGTGTAAAGGAACGAATGAATGGGGCCATGTATCGTGAGATTTTGAGTGAAAACCTCCTTCCATCAGCAAGGGCATTGAAGATGAAACGTGGCTGGGTCTTTCAGCATGACAATGATCCCAAACACACGCCCGGTCAACGAAGGAGTGGCTTCGTAAGAAGCATTTCAAGGTCCTGGAGTGGCCTAGACAGTCTCCAGATCT